ACACTCTTAGCTAAACACCCTTAGCTATGCTCCCTTAGCTGCACACTTTTAGCTAAGCATCCTTAGCTAAGCATCCTTAACTAAGCACCCTTAGCTATGCTCCTTTAGCTATGCTCCCATAGCTACACACTCTTAGCTAAACACCCTTAGCTATGCTCCCTTAGCTGCACACTTTTAGCTAAGCATCCTTAGCTAAGCATCCTTAACTACACTCCCTTAGCTATGCTCCTTTAGCTATGCTCCCATAGCTACACACTCTTAGCTAAACACCCTTAGCTATGCTCCCTTAGCTGCACACTTTTAGCTAAGCATCCTTAGCTAAGCATCCTTAACTACACTCCCTTAGCTATGCTCCTTTAGCTACACACTGTTAGCTAAGCATCCTTAGCTACGGTCCCTTGGTCAGACTCTCCACTCAGTATGCATTCCTGATTCTCGGACCCAAGATGGACTCCCCATTCTCAGGCTTGCCTTCGCACGTTTTGGGGGGCCGGACAGCCCCAGGGACCCCACCGGTCCCTGAGTGAATGCAATCGGCGCGCGGCCCTGCATGTTAATGCGCTAAAAAAAGGCAAAGCTAGCCGAACGGTGACATTTGCTTAATCCTAATCCATAAAATGTATCTGTGGAGCCCTTTCTCCGTCCGCTGATTACATTCTGCAGCATGCGCTGGGCTGCCTGGCCTGTAAAAGAGAGCGCCTTTGCAAAAACGGCTCTTTGTCTGCTGTCCAGTAGCTCTATAGTGTTTTCATAATGCCAGGAGAGCAGGCTCGGGAAAGAGCCCTAAACCCATGCCGTGCCTTTAGCGCATTGAGGACTCGTTTGACGGTTACCCGAGCGGTGACACCTATCGGGCCGGGCCGGGCAGGACGGGAGGGCCGGCAGCCAACAGCTCAGAGCCACCTTCTTTGAGGGGAGGCTTTGATGGCTACAGCCAGTCCTTCTCGCAGCTGGTCTCCGAGCACCACACTGAGCCCCCGGCAACAGGCACCCCTTTGTCAGAGTGGACTGAGAGGGGGTGGGGTGGCAGGGGGTGGGGGGCTTGATTTTGATGGCGGCCTCGTGTTGGAGACCCTAAAGGATATGGGGGGGGGGTCGTTGGCAATAAGTGAGACCGGCTCCTAATGAGCACTGACAGCTCCGCGGGATGAGTAGGTCCTGGCTCCCTCCCCCTCACCCCCACTCCCTCCCTCCTCTTGGCCACAGGCACCCGCCTCCCTCGCCAGCACAGCAGCAGTAGTAGTCCGAACGGAATGAGCTTGACGTGTGTCCACAGTGACTGGGCCCAGCCTTCCTGTGAGACCCGTCATCCGGGAAGGTGTCGGGTTCGGGTAGCTGCTCTCGCCCCGACTGGGATTGCCGCTCCTTTTATGGCAAAGTCGGCGCTGTAGCACAGTGATTCATTTAGCAATGCTCTGAATTATGCGATTTTAATACCTGCCCTGACCACTCTACCCCCCTCTGGAACTACTATGCCAGGTCATCAATAAATCTGTCTTTTTCCAGGACATATTTTAATTTTATTACAGGACAGCTTCGAAGTGGCCAAGGTCTCAAATAACCCTGACTTCTACTGGTAAACTTCCTTCATTTTAGTCACAATCCTTTATACCCTGATTGACGTTGATGTACCTGATGTTTAACTGCAAGATTTCTTAAAATAATTTAATTTGTGTCAAATCCTACGATGATTTGTGGCCATTTAGCTTATAGGTTCAGTTTTTTTTTTTTAAATTATCCCGAATCCCATTTCTTAGTCTTACGAAGAAGCTATGTGACCCCCCTCCCTTATTTTATAGGTTTCCCCAGGACACCTCCCCCAGCAAAACCAGTTTTATTCAGCATTTTATCCCCTAGTGCAGAAGACACATTACATTACACACATACACCAGCTCTCCGTGGGTTTTGTGGGCCCTGTGCCTGGTGCCTTGTGGGTCACAAGGTCATGGCGTGTGGAATTCCTTCATGACATCACCCACCCCAAACAGCACCTCAGAAGACCTAGTAGGTACCTTCAGGCCCCACCCTGCTAGTTCGGATTACCCACCTAGATCAGGGCTGACAGTCCAAGAGACTTTAACCTTTTTATAAATAAGGCTGTTAGTTTCAGAAGCAATAGTGGAAGATTTCATCTTGCTGAAGCCCTGTAAATATTAACGCTGTCCAGGGATATCTTGGAAGTGCTGCACATCTGTAAAATGGTATCCCACAGAAGTCATCTCCTGGTGTGCACGTTTTAAAATATACATTTGTGTAAATGCATAACAAGGCACATAGTGTGATGTTTCCCACAAACCACATGACAGCCTGTCTATGCATGTGTGTAGACTCATGTTCTTTTGTCCTCCAGAGGCTGAGCCAGAGGTCGATCACCTTTTTGTGAAAGACATCACTCCGGACAGCTTCCACGTGTTCTGGACCACCAACAAGAACATCTTCGACAGATTTATCATTAGGATTCGGGATTCTGAAGGAGTCCAGGAGATGCAGGAGTTGACCGCTTCGGGCAGTGAAAGTAGCAAAGTGCTGAGCGGCCTTGCTGAAGGGACAGAGTACAGAATCGAGATCTACGGGGAGATTCTGGGATGGCGTTCCCAGCCTGTCACCAGTGAAGCTCAAACAGGTATTTTGTCCCACCAGTTTTCTTCATTTCAGTTTCATGTTTTACTGTCACATGAGTGATCTGAGGAGCACTGTGAAATTGTAATGGCATGGTTGTAGGGGAGGGAATAAGTGCAACAATGGGACAAATTGCAGTGCAGTACAGGATAAACAGCAGTGCAAGAATAGGACATACTATAGTGTAACAACAGGACAATCAACAGTGCAACAATAGGACAAACAGCAGTGCAGTGCAGGACAGACAGTAGTGCAACAATAGGACACACTGCACTGTAATATAGGACAGATAGCAGTGTGATACAGGGCAAACATTAGTGCCACAATAGAACAATCAGCAGTGCAGTGCAGGACAGACAGCAGTGCAACAATAGGACAAAGAGCAGTGCAATATAAGACAGACAGCAATGTGATACAGGACAGATTGCTGTGCAATACAGGACAAACAGCAGTGCAATGAGAGACGAGACAGTGCAAGACAAGACAGCAATATAAAAAATGACAATAAATATGAAATAAATAGATGGTGAACAGAAAATGATGTGCAAATAGCCAGAGAGGGAGTGCAGCATAGATATTTCAAATGTCAACAAAGCATAGAAAGAGTGTTTCATAGGCAGCTGTATTCCTAACATTGTTCAGTCTCATTGACTTTGTATGTGTCTTTTATGTCAACGGATCTGTTCCAGTTTGTCCAGGATCACCTCAGCCCTGTACTTCTTAAGTGCTTATGGAGAATGAATAGACAGATAGCCAGATTAACTGAAACTATTCCGTTTAATTTATAGTGTTAAAGTTGAAGTTTGAGGGATGCATGAGGTAGATGTCCACATATTTCAGCCTGATAACCATTTTGTGTTTTTGTTGACATAAACCGTCAACCTCTATCTAATGTTGGGGTGTCGGGTGAAAGCCAGACCTGTGTCGTTAATTTTCTCTTTTCAGCTTTCAGCCCCATCTGATGATCTGTCGTTCCCACCACCAAAATCGTGTCTTATCGGCTGCTCAGTCAGAGTTTCAGGCACACACTTTGCTACAGTTTTCGATCTGGTTGCTCTGGGAGACCGTATATCCCCTTTGTGGTGCCGAAACCTCCCAAAGCAGTTTATTTGATGCACCAGTTCCTGCTGGATTTTTTACCTTCCACTCATTGATCTAGGAAGACCAGTGACAGTAATTCTGTGACAGTAATTCTGTGACAGTAATTCTGTGACAGTAATTCTGTTTGTTTACCACATTCATTCTATCCTGAGTCTTGTCATGTTTCTTATTTTTTATGTTTACTCTTCAGGGATGTATAATCTTTATGCATCTAGTTTGGGTCCAAACTGCACAGCCACTGCCCTCGCTGTGATTCGCAGCAGATTGTGCTGCAAAGCCTTCCGCCCTGGACAGCTGAAGGTGTTTCGGGTTGTTAGTTTTTAATTTGGTCTGCAAACACATGGACCGATGCCTCCTGGCAGGAGACACAATGAGCCGGAGCTCTTCCAAGGCTCTCGGGCTCATTTCATTCGCTCAGGTCATAATTTCCTATGTGTTTGTTGTTTTCTTGTTTTCGGTGGCTTGTCACCACGCTACAGGTCTCGGCACCCCTAAGGGCATCCGCTTCTCGGACGTCACCGACACCTCAGCCACCGTACACTGGACTGCGCCTCGCACCCGTGTGGACAGATTCCAGGTCACCTACGTCCCGGCCCAGGGAGGTGAGCATCTGAAACCGACCGAGAGCCCCGTGGGAGCCCCCCCCCCATGGGAGCCCCCCCTCCCATGGGAGCCCCCCCTCCCATGGGAGCCCCCCCTCCCATGGGAGCCCCCCCTCCCATGGGAGCCCCCCCTTCCCAGGGAGATTCACAGGGAAATGCAGTCGAAAGACGCTTCAGTGAAGGTCCACGTGTACAGCAGGCCGGTGTGGTCCTCGGTTTGGATGTCCTGTCTGCACTAAAAGCCCAAAGCTTTAGTGTGGTTCGGCCTGCTGCTTTGTCCCAGCAGCATTTTCCATGGGAAGTCAAGGCACAAACAGGGCAGCCTCAGTGGTTTTCCAGTACTGCAAACGATCACATAGATTAACTACAAATCCCCTTAAAACTATACTGGTTTAAATTTCAGACCACTTGGAATATGGCAAGGAAACGCACATGAATGTATCTATCTTCATCAGAAACCATGAGGACATTCCATCTATCTGTGTTGTCTCGTTCATTTCCTTGAGATTGTCCTCAATTTATCTTTACAGTCCCCCTCCACGTGGCTAATGCTGCCATCTAGTGGTGAGGAAATATAGTGCCCATTCTTAAAAATCATCTGCTTTCAGAGAAGAGCAAATTGGAGGCATTAGTTTGCTGGTCCGTTAATGAAGGAAGAGGAAAAGGAAAGAAACACACAATTTTGTCAATGTTTCAGAGCATATTTTTGCTTTTAGAAAAAAAAAATAGACAATTATTTCATTGCCATTGTAAGCTTTACATTGCCACAGTTAATCACCATCCTTTGCAGACATGGCTACCTCATATGTGTCATAGGCTGAGAGCTCAGGTCAGTTGACGGGGGCTTACCTGTGCCTGTACCCTCCCACAGGAAGTCGAAAGGCGGTGACAGTTGATGGCACAGAGTCCCATACTGTCCTGGCCAGTCTGACGCCCGGTGTGACCTACCAGGTGACAGTTATCACTGTGAAGGGTCAGGAGGAGAGCCAGCCAGGGACCGACTTCGTCACCACAGGTGAGTCCTTCATTCCCCACATTCATAGGGAGGCTGGACAAAATGTCACCATATAAAAATGCAGAAATTCACAATTACTAAGGTGAGTCGTGTTTTGATGCCCATCAGAAGTGTGTGTGTCTGGCTGTGAGCACTGTCTGCCTGTGAGCACTGACTGGCTGTGAGCACTGTCTGCCTGTGAGCACTGTCTGCCTGTGAGCACTGACTGGCTGTGAGCACTGTCTGCCTGTGAGCACTGTCTGCCTGTGAGCACTGTCTGGCTGTGAGCATTGTGACAAATGAGGTGTCAGAGCAACGGAAGGCAACTAAGAGACCCAAAGAGTCTGTGTCCCATTTGCAGGTGTTTTGGTCAAGGCCGTAGGTTTGGGTTCAACTATGGTAGGGAGCAAATCAGCCCCAAACCCCCCCACCCCCTAAACACACACGGTACCCCCACAGTCCTGCTAGGTACATGATCCTGCCCTCCACACCCAAACGGACACCATGGGTGTTAGTCGCAAAACTACTAAATGATTCAATGTGTCTGTGACCCAGGCCCAGAAAAAACTGTATGTTGTGAGCTTCAAAAAGCTGGAATTTATGATTTATAGTTACATTTGACATATTTAGCAGATGCGATGCACATATGAGGCAACCAGCACATTGTGAACATGTGGCTGTCGACGAGTCAACTAGGCATAAGCCGGGCTGAGTGAACGTCCAGCTACGAGTGTAAGCGGCACTGGGGTTTATCAGCCTTCATAAGCCGGGCTGAGTGAACGTCCAGCTACGNCATAAGCCGGGCTGAGTGAACGTCCAGCTACGAGTGTAAGCGGCACTGGGGTTTATCAGCCTTCATAAGCCGGGCTGAGTGAACGTCCAGCTACGAGTGTAAGCGGCACTGGGGTTTATCAGCCTTCATAAGCTGTTTGTACCCAAGGCGAAGACTTTGTGGAAAATAATAATATGGCCTGATAAGTCACCCTTTGCCCCTTTTCCTTCTTCGGGAGGAGGGGGGGGGGAGTGACTACTTTTGGTGGAATGCAAAGGATGCCATCAATGCATGATGTCAGTTAGGTTGGCCGGCCTTGTGTAACAGCCAACAGATATGAGGCCATTTTACCCCATCAGGTGGGCCGGGTGTGAGCTGCAAACGGCTCCTGCGTGATTTCCACATCCTGCCGCGGAATGCTGCCACACAAATCCAGTGGTGAATTCCGTGATGAAGTTACCTCACATTAGGGTGACCATACTTTGCACTGAAAAAAAGCAGAGCAGGGGCCAGGCTGCAAAGAGAGGCATCAAAGAAATTCAAATATGCACGGGGGGATAGTGTCAACACGGAACAAAAGCAAAATCCCAGACACTTCAACCATTTTTAGGTCCCAGAAATGAGGACAGGTCCGAGAAAAAGAGGGTTTACGGTGACCCTACCTTTCATGGTCGGCCCAGTCACCAGATCTTTATGGGAAGTTTCGGAGCATATTCCACAAAGCTGATTTCACATCCTTCTTCCTTTAAAAAACTGGAGCCATTTGTTCTTTACTTAAAGCATATTGTGCTACACATGGTTTACACGTGTGCTACAACAGTGCAATATTGTGCTTCACATGGTTTACACATGTGCTACAACGGTGCACTTTGACATTTTACCTCCACAGTCAAATTACACTGTTGGTTTAATTTACACTGCACTTTTTTTCTCTGCACACTAATCCAGTCATCACTCTATTCCACATCAGTGGATCTTGTACATTGTAGCTGACATACCAGTTTCTGAGCACAGCAGCCATTTTTTTGCACATGGTACTCTGATATAATCTATGATCTATTTTTCCTAAATTTCCTTCGAGATTAATAAAGTATCATCCATCCATCCATCCATCCATCCATCTATCTATCTAATTATCTTGATAAGTCTTGCACAGTGTGCTCTCTTAATCTTGTGTGCCCTTGCGAATCTTTATCCTGCACTTCATGTTTGGCACCGGACAACAAACACTTCTGGTTTGTTCGTACATAGCGGCGACAAAGTCAGCTTGAGTGAGTGAGTTTAGTATAACGACACGCCCAGAAGGTCTGGAGCTCATGCCCCAGGGTTTGCTTCCCCCAGCTCTGGACAAGCCCAGCGGACTCACCGCCACCAACGTCACCGACACCGAGGCCCTGCTGCTGTGGCAGCCAGCGGTCGCCAACGTTGACGGCTACGTCATCACCTACAGCGCTGACACAGGTATGGGACGCGTACCGCACAAGCCATGACCTTTCTCTAAGTTACTGGTCCATTCTTCATACATTCAACCTATCTTTGAATCTTATTACTGATGTGCTGGAATTACAAACCAAAGCTACGTATTCAAGGGATCATCAGCATACCACTGAAATGCTCATAGTACTGGAACCAGCAAATGTTGGGCTATAAGGTAGATCATTCTGCTGTCTAAATTCAGAGGTGGGTAGTTATTATATATTATATTATATTATATTATATTATATTATATTATAGTCTGTATGGCACTGGCCTCCCATCTGGGGTGTACTGCTGCCCAATGCTGCCAGCTACAGACTCCAGGGACCCCCCCCACCCAGCCCTGTCCAGGATCACAATGGATATATACTTAGTTAGACATGGATGGCTGCTGTACAGTAACACTTTTAAAAAGTTTACTGGAGGTGTGTTATTGTTCTAAAAAATGTAGTATCTGTTTTGTGCCACAGGGGGGCACAGTAGAAGTTTGGTGTAAGGTCATTAACAGATGGCTGCTCTCTGCAGTTTCTCCAGTGATGGATCGTGTGTCCGGGAATGTGGTGGAGTATGAGATGACCTCTCTAAACCCTGCCACACACTACACTGTCAAGGTGTATGCCTACAGAGATGCTCACAAGAGTGCTGCCACGACCACAGAATTCACCACGGGTGAGCTTCCTGCCGGACCAGAGGCAAATGCAGAATCTGCCAGGACACAGACAGGTTCCTATATGACCCAGAACCAGACACAGATTCCTGTAAAACCCACAATCAAACACAGGTTCCTATAAGACCCAGAACCAAACATAGGTTCCAATAAGACCCAGAACCAAACACAGGTCCCTATAAGACCCAGAATCAAACACAGGTTCCTATAAGACCCAGAACCAAACACGGGTTCCAATAAGACCCAGAATCAAACAAAACTGTCATAGCACCAGAGGAAATGATAAGTACGTACAGCACTTAGAAATCAGCTAAGATTCCTGCATAACCCAAACTCAAACCCAGCCTCCTACACACCCCATGATCAAGCAAAGTTCTTAGCAGCGAAACCCAAGGGGGCAGCAGGTAACCGGATCAGATCCATCGCGGGGGCTGTACTCTAACCAGTGTCTCCTGTCCGTCTTCGTCTCCCACCCTAGATGTGGATGCTCCCCAGGACCTGGAAGCAAACAACATCCAGACAGAGAGTGCCGTGCTGAGCTGGAGAGCCCCCCGCGCTGACATCACCGGCTACATCCTGAGCTTCGAGTCTGCTGACGGCATCATCAGGGTATGGGGAGGGCGGAACAGCAAGGCATTGGGAGGGGGGAAGGTTCTCAGCACACCTGCAAATCCGGGGAGGAAAATATCTCAAGAAATAAAAATGCTCCATTCTTCATGATGTCAGCTTATAAACAAAAAAAACCCATCAAATTAATTTGCGTGTTTGCATCTGTATACTGTACATTCTTTGTTATCTCCCTCTTTTCTTTACATTGGAGACACAGAGCTGTTTAGTCACATAATATTTTGTGAAAGCAGGGGTCAGACAGTCCCTGGAACAAATGGGGGTTAAGGGCCTCGATCTGTGGCCCAGCAGCAAAGTCACTCTGCTGATACTGGGATTTGAACTGGTGACGTTCAGGCACAGCCCCCTAACCACAACACACCTTGTTTGGGCAATTTAGCGTGCCTGCCTCTGTTGTAGTGCTGTCGTTTTAACATCTTCCGAGTCGTCACCGAGAGGGGTCACCACGCCGTTTCACTTGGACCAGTCGAGCATGATGTCACATGTAGGGTCTGTGTCACTGTCCAGGAGGTGGTGCTGAGTCCCACGGCGACCTCCTACATCATGACGTCACTCAGCGCCTCCACTGAGTACAAGGTGCGGCTGCAGGCCCTGGCCGGACCCAAGCGGAGTCGCCATGTTACCACCACCTTCACCACCAGTAAGGCTCTCTGCTGACCTCTGCCCTCTGACCTTCACAGCCAACACACCTAGGCCACTTCAGCTCTTTACAGTACCATGTATGGTGTAATTGCATGAATGAATCTGCCAGGTAATTAAGATTAACTACAACATGTAATTGTTGATGGCGCAGTGGGGAGGCTCAGTGGGGAGGCTCAGTGGGGAGGCGCAGTGGGGAGGCGCAGTGGGGAGGCTCAGTGGGTAGCAGCCTCACACCTCCAGGGCTGGGGCTTGGGATTTTGCCTCCTGGTGTTGTGTGAAGAGTTTGTGGAATGTAGGTGTCCCCTTCTTCCAGTAACAGCAGACAAACTGTGATTAAGTGACACATTACCTTACATTGTAATTGCGTGTGTAGCTGGCATACTGTACCGGGACTGTAACTGCTTGTTGTTATTGTGTTTGTGTGTAGCTGGTATACTGTACAGGCATCCTAGGGACTGTTCCCAAGCCCTCCTGAATGGAGACACCACCTCTGGCTTGTACACCATCTATCTGGGTGGGAAGGAGGAACAAGCATTGCGCGTTGTCTGCGACATGACAACTGACGGAGGCGGCTGGATTGTGAGTGACACGCTAACCCCTGTGCACATGTGCTCACCCATGGCTCAGTGAGAATCCACCAGTGCTTTTTCTTGTCCTGATAAGGAACCAGGGGCTTAGGACCCTGGGCTGCAGGGGGAAGCATGTACCCCCCAATATTTAATCTGGCTTCATTCATCCCCCCAAAAACTGACCATTGCATTTAAATTATTAACGTGTGTCCCCTACCCCCAATGTCAAACTCGCTCCTACTCTGTTGTAAGGAACATAGAGATTAAGTGCTTTGCAAATTGAAATGTCAAACGTGCCTCACTGAAGACAGAAATATTTACCACATTAGCATGGCTTACGTTTCTTCCTTAAAGACAACCCTTTAATAACCCATGTTCTCCTGCATCCTCATTCTTCCCTTTACCCATATAATCTGGCCACATGATCTTATCCATTTTTCACATCTTTGTAGGTGTTTGTCAGGCGCCAGAGTGGAAACCTAGAATTCTTCCGGAACTGGAAGAACTACACCATAGGCTTCGGAGACATGAATGATGAATTCTGGCTTGGTATGTTTTCATGTGATTTGTTACCTTGATAGTGTTATCATCATGCCTTGATAACATAGAACGTGGCCATTTTCAGGTGTGTGGTGTGAACTTCAAAGACTTGGATTGGCTGGTGGCCTCAAATATGGGCTCTGATGGGTTTATGTCCCCGAATATGGGCTCTGATTGACTTATGTCGTAAGATATGGGTTGTAACTGGCTTATGTCTCCAGATATGGACTTTGATTGGCTTACATCCTGAAATAGAGACTCTGATTGGCTTGTATCCCCAGATATCGTTCTGATTGGCTTATGCCCCCAGATGCAGCCTCTGATTGTCTGTGATCTTGTGTCCCTATAATCTTATATAAACTTTGTGAAACTCCCGATTATACTTTTATTTATATATATATATATATATATATATATATATATATATATATATATATATATAAATAAAA